AACAGGCTTCGCGATATCTCACGACACACTGTTACGCTGCGACGCGCCTGGCGCACATATAGCTAGGCCTGCGGCGCTGACACCCGAGACGAGTTGAGGAGAGGGTAAAGGGGAACAGGGCCTTCCGGGCCCAAAATTTGACATACTCGAACCATTTGTCGGAGGCTTACTACTTTAAAATTAGGGGCATGAATCTCCTGCTGTTCGGTAACGGTTTTCATTAAGAGTTCGAATTTTGACAGATTGTTAAGTAAAAATCAACGCTTTAGTGATACAAGATAATCAAGGGGACTCTTAAGCCCAAAATAGGGTGTTGTTCGACCCGTAATGTGTGGTGTGGTTTAAGTATTACTCTGTTCACAATTCTGTCACATGATGAAGCCTTTTTTACGATTTAATAGACCATTTTGTCTTTTTAGCCTGCTCTTTTGACTAAAAGCTATATAAGCGGGCTTATGCCATCGCCCCTGTGTTCGTGTGTCTGTCTGTCTGTTTCCCAAGAGGGACGTGAGCTAGAGATTTGAAATTTTCAGGGTATTATTGCTGTCACCTCTGGACAACGAAACGGTTGGTGCAAATCCTGGCAACCACCCCCGAGTGGGTATGAGGGGGTAACAAATAAATAGGGGCTGGTTCTTAGATGTAACTCGTGAAAGTCGAGCCCTTTGGGCCAAAATTTCGTCCGTTTACCTCTATCTCTTACCGTTTAGGCAATAAATGGAGTCTTACTCACAAAAGTGGCCCAAAAATAAATATGTAAATTTTAGAATATGTTTGATGGTCTTCTTAGGGTTAACTTATAAAAGTAGAGCCCTTTGGGCTAAAATTTTGTCCGTTTGGCTCTCTCTCTCTCCCTGTTTAGGCGCTGGAGGGAGTTTTTCTCACAAAAGTGGCTCAAAAATAAATATATTTATTTCAGAAAACATTTGATGGTCTCCTTAGGAAACCTTGTGAAAGAAGAGCCTCTTAGGCTTAAATTTCGTCCTGTTTACTTACAAAAGGAAGTTTTACTTACCAAACTGGCCAAAACAGAAATATTTTTTATTTTTTCTGGAGTAAACTTTTGTTTGAGAAGTACAGTATGCCGTCGGTTCAAAATTTTCTTCTAAGCAGAAGAGTGGGCTTATTTTATGGTGGCACTTCATTAATAAAATGTGTACAGTCCCATGCAAAAAAAAACACAAAATAAACAATTATTTCGTCGTTCGGACACGTTCGTGGTCATTCTGAATATGCCTTGAAGTATATTTAACTTCTTCTGGGTCTAGTCTAATACAGTATATCTTATTATAGGTGTGTTATTGGAACCATGAGCTAACATAATTAAGTTAGAAGGGATTTGGCATAACTTCTTGCATGCATTCTACAAACTGCGGCACACACAGTCAAAGATGTTTAGCGCGTATGAAAAGAATGCTTCGTTAATTGAGTTTTGATTACGAAGTAGACAGCAAAGGTACCTGGCAAAGGATGGTTCAAGGCGAGCCGTCACTGAAACGGGCCGAAGGCCCGTTTTCCGATAGAAGGGATATTACACCATGAAAATTTAGAAGGGACGGACCGAAGGCCCGTCCCAAACGCCGCCGGCAGGCCAAGCTAGGCCCGCTCCCTGGCGAACCGAGTTTCCGGTGGAGCAAAGCGGAGCTGGCAACTTGGTTTGGCGTAAGAGAGGGCCTAGCTTGTTTCACGTTGTTTTCGCCAAGAAATGCCCCATAGCGCCGATAGAGCAAAACTGACAAAATTTTCGCCCAGAGAACTCTACTTTCACGAGTTACCTCTTCAAAGCCCATAAAAAAATATTTGAAATTAAAAAAGGACTGTGCAGGCTCTGGTTTTTAATTTTTTATAAAAAGTCAATTTTTGAGCTCCTGCGTTAAAAGCTTATCCGTGTTTTAGACGCATATTCGTCATTTTTCACCAGTCTGAAAACGACCAGCATACTACGAATACGACGAAGTATCGAGGTATTTCGTCGTATTCCCGTTCCTTTGACGCCGTACCTGGGCTGTACGGTGATCGTGCCACTGGTCAAATTCACGACGAGAATGCGACGAGAAAACGACGACCCATACCGCGCCAACGCCGCCGGGCACCGCTGTATTCGCGTCGTTTATTCGTCGTATGTTGGTAGCGGAAGGGGAAAGAAACAAAACGGTCGGGCGCCGGGAGGCGGGCTTGAACCGACGACCACACAGTCGCCATGCTGGGACGGTATCCACTTGGCCAGGGAGAACACCTGAAGGCAGCGCGGCCGGAACCTCATCCCATTCTGGCCTGTGCTCTCAGCGTTGTAGATTTAGACTGCGGGCAACTGATCACTGCTTTATTAGAAACATCTCGACACAACTTTTCGGAACAGTCACTCTGCTAAATGAACAGCGTACAAAGTACGCTGATTTATCAGCATGCATGGATGCTCGCTGAATTATCAGCGTACATTGCAATGATTGCTGAAGATTCAGCGTGCATTTTCATTGAAATGCACGCTGACAAATCAGCGATCAATGGAATGCACGCTATTATATACAAGTGAGCATACGATTGAATGCTGTGATGCTTATATTTGCAGAGAATCACGCTACAATCCTAAAAATGGTATTCAAGTGATGCTGATTCGCAACCAGCTCTTTCCCAAATTCACTTGCAGGTTTTACTTTTTAATTGTTTAAAGTGACCATAAAAAATCAATAAACGATAAAAAAAAATTCCCTGACTTTGATGTTTTTATTATTGCACCTACCTCAATCATGTGATATCCGAATCCAAGTACCAAGCACTGAGCAGAAAAGAGAAGGAAGGGTGTGAGATGCTGGTGCTGGAGAAAACCTCTCTTCAGTAGCTCATTGTAAAGAGCAGTTTACACTGTCACTATCGGACAGGCGCGCAGAAATTATTTGGACAACCGAACAGTCGATATTAATCGAGAACAAAGAGCCTGTCACATGTGCATAACAAAGACGACAGTCACTAATTTCTACTTAACAATCAGAGACCAACAGGAGTTGATATTGCCGATGGCCATTCTCTTACTATTTTGTTTTTGTTCTTAGTTGTTCTGTTCTGCTTGGAAACGATAATAACAACAATTCTTCTTTTTCGCAGTTCTAACTTTGATCTGGGTGGTCATTTGTTTTCCTGGACTACTAACCGAGCTCTACCCGCACGGGAAACTCAAATCCCTCTCGTGAGAGAAGTTGGTACTACCAAGTTTGAGAAAAATCGTGTTGGGTTTTGTTTGTTCTGCGTTTGCCTCGATTTGAGCCTATTTAAGCGTCTTTAGATGTATTTGAATCAGGCTGGGCATTCATTTACTATCAGCTGTGGTGGGATGTGCTAATATTTATTATTAGTATTGATTGTATCCTCGAAATACAAGTGATGTGACAATATCGCTCTCATCTTGGTCTACTCGACGTAAGACTTCGTAAGTATTTGTTCTAATTCTTTGCCCATGCACTTTTGGTAGACTTCGTAAGCCTTCCAATCAAGTTTTCTCGTAGGATTCACACTTCATTGGCCATTTTAACGGCTACCACAACTTAACTAGGCTAGCGATCGTTTCTAACAACCTGTGGATGTTCGGTCGATGCAGGGGTGTGTTTTCATGGTTTTCATTTCTCTCCCCTCTCTCGTTCGCCGTCCCCTTCAAATATTATACAAATGCCACTTTTTACTGATTCCATGTCTGTACTGTCAATTTTTTGTGTGTAACATCGTTTAATTTTGAGTTTCATTCTTTCAGGGTGTCAATCTTTTAAAGTTAGAGGGTTCTCTTTGGCCCGCCTTGCCATGGAATCGATGGAATATGAAGGTCAGTTTCCCACCACTTACACCCTATTTGTGCTATTTGTATCGTCACTTGCTCATTATTATTTTTGTTTTCCTTTAGATGCCAATATCAGTGCCGCTCAACTTCTTCAATAAGAAGCAGCCTTGGTTTTGTCACACATCAGAGATACTTGCAAGACCACGCAGAAAGCTGCTGATAGTGTTGTATCAGGTGTTGACGAACTCTTACAAATTTTCCTTGAGGTCTTGAAGGTATAAATTTATTGATTTATTCATTGTCTCCCATCCATTTATGCAAATGTGATGAAACTAATCAAATCCACTAAAATTTTAATTATTAGTTTTTGTGTATGGCTTAGCACGCAACTAATTTATTTTCTCTTTGCAGGACAAAGTTAATGAACGTCTTTCGTCCAGAAATGGCTATATCAGGTTAGAGAATATTGCAGGTGTGATTGACATTTTTAAAGGACAGCCATTTTTTGCGGGTGTTGGTTCCAAACCGTACATGGAATATTACATTCAAAAAAAGAGTGGAGGAAAAGATGTCACATTACAAAAGTTGGTCTTGGATTCCCAGACTGTCATTCGAGCTGGACGGCCATGTAAAGTACCTACCAAAGTTGGTTATAGAGTGAAGTTTTTTCCCCAGTTGGAACAACTACTCAACTGTAAGGATGTGATGCAGTGTGTTGAAAACCCTGCACCCTCAAGAGAAGGCATTTTCAAGTCTGTAACTGATGGTCTCTTTTAAAAGTACCATCCAGTTGTGCAGAAGGCTAAGAAGTTAAATGCACCAGTTATAGCATTCAATTTGCATGTTGATGACGTTGATCTCTGTGATACCTTGAAGTCAAAGTCCAATAATCAGAACCTACGC